GTTCTATATAAATAAACAGATGTTCTACATAAATAAACTGATGTTCTACATAAATAAACTGATGTTCTATATAAATAAACTGATGTTCTATATAAATAAACTGACCCTACAATATCCAAATGTGGTTTTCTGTTTGAAAGTCAGGCTTTGCCTAAAGAAATTGCATGTACCTGTATAAATAACTAACTAGCGTTGTTAAATCAAAACACAGTTAGTTGTTGAGTTTAGAATAAAAACTGAGYCATACCTTGCAGGTGCCTCCGTTCTGACACTGTCCATGACATGTGTTTATATCTGAGGAGAAACCAGATGTTTAAATGTGACTTGTGACAAACAGGGTGAAGCTCAACAATCACTGAGGACATTTCATGCAGCTGCTACAGAAAAGAGGTTGATGCTATGGCAATAATGTGATCCATGCCTAGARGAGATGCAGACAAGCTCTGGGAGTTTGAAATAAAAGATACCATTAAAGATTTTAGAGTAAGGCTGAGGTTAGTCCAGTTTAGAGCTGGTAGAATCAGTCATAAGAGAAATGTGAAATAGACTGAGAAGCAAAAAATCCAGCAGACTTCACWAACTCACTTCTCTTCTGCTGTCATCTGTAGCTCAGCTTCACAAAGGTCAAAGAAGCCTAACCCTACTTAAACACTAGTAAACAAAGTTAGAGCTGCTTTATGCTGCTGAAGAGTATGTTCTTCATTGTAGACTGCTCTACTCAGCTAGAAGATGTTCTAACCCTAACCCTAACCCAAACCCCTGATATACAGTTTGATAAGTTAAAGAGAAGCTAAGTGAGTGAAAGAACTGGATTTCAGCTCAAAGACAGGCAGGCATGTAGAAAGAGAATTTTCTGAGCTGATACTAACTGATGTCACAGTTCTGACCCGCCCATCCACGGAAACAGGCACAGTGATATCCACCAATTAAGTTTTTGCAAGAGTAAGCATTGAGGCAAGGCTTCCCTGCACACTCATTAATGTCTGCAGAGTAAAGATGAGAGACACAAACACACTGAATGAGTGTCCAATCACCAGGAACAGCAAGATTTTAGCTTTCATAGAACTTCAGTTTAGAACTTTTCTAACATGTTCACTCCTGCTTTTTGGATGTTTTACCATAAAGTTCAGCCTTTGCTWGCATCTGACTCTGCACAGACTAGTCCCCTGCAGGTTTCCTTCCTGTACAACAGTCTGAGTTTGAGTTAATCTTGTATTTTTCTACAGGTTTCCACTGCCCCCCTCCCCTCAGGGTTCATGTCTCTGTATTGCATTCCCTGAAGGCCATCCAGTGGCATTCCAAGTGGTCAGTTTCAGAGGCAGCGCTCTGTGTGCCGCCTCACCCTGTCGAACCAACACAGCGCTTAATACTAGTCCCAGGAGGTGAGTGGCACCTGTTATCCTGCTGAAACCAAACACCCTGACCCCCCCGTTTAACAGCAACACGTCTCATGTGCAGCTCCCACAGGTAACTCCTCCCCTGCCCACTGAAAGGAGCAACATGCTTAACAGAGTAGCTGCTGCTCTTTTCCTGCAGATGTCTGCAGGTTAGACAGTGTTTCTGGATACAGGGGCTATGATAAGTTCTCACCATATTGCACTTACTTCTCTGTTATTTCCTGCCTACAGCCAAAGATAAGCCCTCTCCCCCCACACCCCCAGAAAAGTATATAAGGTCCCAAGGCTAACAGTTGCCTGGCTGGAGGTTATTTTTAGCTTTACTCGAGTTGCAAATGATACCCTGTGAGTGTTGAGCATGCATATAAACAACACACTCTATTAATGAATGGTCATGGTTAGCTAACATGATAACCATTGTTTAAGCAGCACACACTGATGCAAACCAGCAAAGATTTTAAAAACAGATTTTAAAAACCATAGACACTCTGCCCAATTTTATTAGCAAAACACATTTTTTGGCATTAATTGGATCTTTGCCTTTGTCTAAATACAGTAACAGAAAAAAGTCCTACCAATCTGGCAGGTCTTTCCTGTCCACTGTGGAGAACAGATGCATTCAAAGCCATTTTCCAGGTCAATGCAGGTCCCTCCCTGAGCGCATGGACTGGAAGCACATTCATCTGTGTCTGAAACGGAGAACTACCATTAAAGAAATGATCACAAAATTGGCTAAATTGAGAATAGTGTTCTCTGATCTTTGGTCATAGCCTCTTGCASAACGCAGACAAAAATTGCAAAACACTGTGAAAAATATCCCCATAGGCAACAATGGTATTTAGCTGAAGCAAGTGCTGAAAGCCAGACCTCTTTGGAGCTCTTTAGTTCAGACCAACTTCATGGCAGAAACATCATTTGAGACTTTTCTTTTTCTCACCTTTAGCACAGGTTGGCCCAGACCAGCCAGCAGGACAGTGACACTCAAACCCTGAAGACACTTCATGGCATGTCCCTCCGTTTGCACATGGGTTGGACAAACAGGCATGCTCTGCTAAAAAGACCAAAGTAAAGATTAGACTACTGTGGAGACATTCTGCAAGAGAAATTCTTGGTGTTAGATTCACAGACTTACCAATCTCACAGTTCCTGCCAGAGTAGCTGTCTGGACAGGCGCAGTTGTACTCGTTTGGTTCTGTGTTCATACATGTTCCTCCGTTCTTACAGGGTCGGTTGGTCCCACAGTAGTTCAAATCTGCTCAGCAGGTTATAAAATTCATTGTGTTGTCAGGTTAATAAACCACACAAACAGGACAATGACATGCAACAAGTCAATTTCTGTCAAAACAAAGACAATAAAAAAGTTTTTATAGGAAGTGTAATTTCAACATTGACTTCACGAATCTTTACCTCTGTGTATTTATTTTTAAAATGGCAACGGTAAAGATGCACAAATCACACTTTTTCCCCCTTTTCCCAAAAATGTTAAATCAATTTGGTTAGACTTCAACATGTAAGAGCACCAAACTGCAGCTTTGAGGCAACAGCTCACACAGTCACAGGGCTACTGATATCAAGGCCACATGGAAAATTAAAGGAATAATAATGGTAAAAGGAAAATTCCTACAATTTTAACAAGTGTTTCTGTGTTAAACTTGAAGCAATAGATTTTGTTGTGGCTTGGAAATACATACTCTGACAGGACTGATAGGCTACTGCCTAGCTGGAATTAAGACCAAAGTCACTGCCCACAGAAAACCTCTCAGATCATCAACAAAGTCACAATCCAAGAAATACTTTTATAAATTCATGCAATTCCTCTACAGTTTGGAGACTGGGTGTAATRTAGGGATGTATTGAGTCTAGTTTTTAAACCATCAGTCCTGTTGGTCCTATAGTGGATTTCTCCAAACTGAGGTCTTATGTCAGTGCCTATTGCCTTGGAACTTCTAAAGTAGCAACAAAAAGATAACGTTTTCCCAACAAGGACAGATAACCTGATTATTTTCTGACCTTTATCACAGAGCAGGCCTCCCCAGTTCTTTTCRCAGGTGCACTGCCAGGGTTCAGTGCAGGTTCCATGGTCACAGCCAGGATACCGCAGACACCTGTCACACAATGGGCCATCCCAACCGTAGTTACACCTGCAGCACAAAAACAAAACTTCTTTGTATCAGAATCATTGTTCTAATGAGAAGTATTGTAGTAGTAAGATTTGTTTCAGCTTTGGTTGGGCTCCCTAAATTTAAAACAGTTGTCACAATATTTCATGTTTTGCCATTTAATGGGTTTCTGGAAACTGAATCACGATAAAATTTCCTGTGTATCTTACAGGAAAAGCAGGGATTTTATTTATTTATTTTGTGGAGGAGAGAAAAGTCTATTTTTTGGAAGAGGGGGCTAGTTACACGGAGCATATCATTTTAAAAATAATTTGGAATAAGGGTTCAATATGGGCTAGGATTGGTCTTCTCTGGAGGCGGGGGTGGGCAGTGTGGACAGTGAGGAGTTAGTTATTCTGTTGGTTTATGGCAACATGCTGTTATTCCAAGACCAGTGGTAGGTTTGCCCCACCTGTCCTGTCATTTCTCTGCTGAACCTATTTTTGGGAGCAACCACCCTCCCTCTTTACTTCCATCCCGTCCTCAAGTCAAACACTTGAAACTAGCAGGCGATCCCGCAGCAATGATATACGGCTGTGTATTTAGCTGTTATGGTTTGGTAGTGAGCTGAGCAGTCCAGGAAAGCTGTGCTTGGACCAGAATAAAACCTACAGATCTGGACTGAAAACACAAATACATTACAGACTTCCTGAAAGTTGAAACATTGTTAGCAGTATGATTAAATACATGGGGGTTCGTCATRTAAACGGTGGGTTGTCGGTTCAAACCCCYGCCCTGTCTATCTCAGTTGTTGTGTTCTGGGCAAGACACTTCACCTGCCCTGCCTGCTGCTGGTGCTCAGAGAGCCAGGTGAGTTAGCATGAGAGCATCACCTCCTTCAGTCTGTCCGAGGGCAGCTGTGGCTACAATGTAGCTTACCACCATCACCGTATTAATGTGTGAATTAATGTATGAATGTGTGTATGAATGTCTGAATGTGTGTATGAATGTCTGAATGTGTGTATGAATGTCTGAATGTGTGTATGAATGTCTGAATGTGTGTGTGAATGTCTGAATGTGTGTATGAATGTCTGAATGTGTGTATGAATGTCTGAATGTGTGTATGAATGTCTGAATGTGTGTATGAATGTCTGAATGTGTGTGTGAATG